CGGATGCCTTCCGAGCGTTTGCTGCCTCTTCTTCTTCCAAGCACACAAATCCATCAGCTCTTTCATTAAGTTCATCCATAGTTTTCGGCGTGTTCACCACTAAGCTTGGGTGGAATGGAGTGCCACGAGTCATGGCCAGTATAAATGCTTGAACTGCCGTTGAAGGGTGACATTCAATCACCATGCTCTTAGTAAGGTTAAACCTGGTTAGGAAAGCTTAGAGATGCTCATCACCATGCTGCTTCATTGTGAATAGGCTTGAAATGTCCTTCGTTGGACACTTATTTCCAAAATATTGGCTTATGAACCGATCACACAAGCTTCGGAAACTATCCACTGAGCCCCTCGGCAGGTTCTTGAACCAATTGAGAGCTGGTCCAGCTAGACTCGTAGGAAAGCACTTGCACATCAAAGAGTCATTCTCAGTGTTCAGAGCCATTTTCAACTGGATGTGATACACATGATCGATCGGATCGGTCGTTCCGTCGAACAGAATGAAAACGGGCATGGAAAATTTCCTCGAACTCGGAGCATTCAGAATCTCATCGGTGAACGGTGAATCAACCGTTCGAGCTGCTGAACGGAGTGCTTCATTTTCCCTCTGGAACCCCGCGGTTGCTCTCTGGTCTACAGATCTCCTCTCTGAGCCGTGATAGTCGAACGTCGCCATGGAAGGCCAATAAGTCGGATCGAATGATCTATCCTCAACAAAATCTCTGCGCCATGGAGGCATAGCTTTGTGACGATCCAGCTCTATTGCTTCACCTCGGCTGAGTGTTTCTTGATGTGGATCAAAAGTCATTGCTTCGTTTCGCCTGATCTGCTCACGCCATGGATCCACGTGAGTCGATCATTCACGATCATCAATACGACAAAGATTTAGCGGCAAACCGTTTGGCCGGATTTCCTCGCGGTGAGGATCTATCATATTGTTTCTGACCTCCTCACTGTGATATGCCACATCGGTACGTGCACCTTCTTCTCCTACCGGGAGCGGTCGCGGAATTTCTGGAGCTTCTTGACGCTGCATTTTAGTCCTTAGATACGCATTTTCTCTCCGGAGAGCTTCGATCATGCTCATCAACTCATCAAGTTTCACCTGCTGGACGTTCTCTACCGTATTGGAGTTCTCACCCCCTATCATGATTCCGGATCGAAGCAAAGGCATGAATTACGAACTCCGAAACAAATCTGAGCGTCACCGATGCAAATTCCGTTAGATCTGGGCTCAACTTCACCGAATCGTGGTCACCGTTTGCTAGATCTGAGCTTTTCTAGCTTTGAACTCACCGGATCTGACTGCAATTGAACAAATCACAGTTGTGTCATTCCGAAGCAAATGCCTTAGAATCGACAATAAGCAAGAATTCTCTCTGAACAAACTACAATCTCACTGATCTGGATTCCACTTCCAGAAATCAAACTGTGTGCTCACAAACTTGATTAAACTAACATGATACTGATTAGGCTCAAATCGATCTTCTTCATTGTTCCCACAAACGGCGCCAATTGAAGATGCAAGAAATTCATTCTCCTTTCTCTCTCTCTAGAATTTTTACACTTCAATAGAAAATTTTACCTCCTCCCAAAAAATATCCCCCTCTTATCCACCTGTAATGATCTATTTATAGACCATTACAAATATTCTAACTAACTGATTACATAGGGCTCCTATTCAAGAGTTTTCTTTCTTTTGGGCCTGACTTTCCAATGGGCTTGATTTTCTTCAGTGGATCCTCCAAGCTCGGCCCATTCCGTGGTGCTTTTGCATAGGCCATACTTCAATTGTTTGACCCGATCCCATACCAGCGAGCTATAACTGGCCCATGCTACTTATTTCATCCTCGGGCTGCATAGATTACAGAGGCCTAAGAAGTCCTCAATGGTCAAGCTATCATTTTCTTCGATAGTTTGGGACTTCAAAACACTCCGAGGAGGGAGTAAACAACTGTTTCTCTAATTCTTTTATCTTCCCATTTTCTGACAGTTTAAGAATGGCTTTAGAAACATTAGCAGCTAATGTAGAACCTTTTTGAAATACCTGCACAGAAAGCATGAACAATAATTTAATTACAATCAGTTATCCCAGATGTATTAACGGAATTGTCATTCTATATATATTTCTTAAGATATGCATAGCTAAAAATAAATAAAAAAATTTGTCTGAATTATGCTTTTTTTTGGTGTAGCAAATAACTTGGAAGATTTTTAGAGAATGAAATGAGTGGAAAGAGTTCCATTCCCTACTACTCACGAAGCCGAATCCTCCAAATCTTCTGGGGAATGATCCATCGCCATACGCGTACTGCTTGCAGTGTTTGTTGACAAAAACTTTGGCATAAGGAACTTCAAGAACTGCTGCTTGAATCGTGCCATTCTCGATTAATGCACTCCGGTACTCACTTTCGCTGCCGATGTTGATGATGTTCCTCGGTTAAAAATTCTCATCCTGCAGGTAGTTCCCAACAAATGTAGGACCACTGTTGCATTTGTCGTCTTTAGCCACTCCATATCTCTCACAGGTGACTGGAGTCTTTTGAAGGTGAGCATTGAAGTGAGGCTGGCAGCGTAGCTTTCTATTAAGATCAACACCACAAAAAGCCACGCCACGATCACCGTTCCAGTATAGTTGCTTTTAATCTTCTCCCCTTCAAAATCAAAAATAAAAGTTTATTCATATATACATATAAGTAGAAAATTATTGGGATTTCATTTCTTAATTTGCGTATATGCAGTTATATTTATAAGTATTTACCTCCTAATTGGGCTAATGGTAGCATCATCAAGTCTTTTTTCTTTGAAATCTCTCCAAATCAGGGCATGCTATTGGATATTTATGTTCTTAATTATTAAATAATAAAAATAATATATACTTCTCACCACCTATGTGACATATTATAGAGTGACATGTGTCCATTTTAATTTAAAATATGTAAAAATATATATAAAGGAAGGCATTTAGTACAAATAGGTCCTCATAACCTTGCCTCCAAAAAGCCTCCAAGTGAGCATTTAAGTGTGTGAGAGAGAATTTACCTAAATTGAAAAAAAATTAAAAAACTTAGCTTGCCTCCAAATCTAAGCATAAATAAAATGGTACTGTTAATTCTCTGATTGCTGTTTAACTTGATAATATACTTACTGTGAGCAAAGAACAGAGTAGAGAAGATGAACCAAATCACATTGCCAAGCTGTTCCTTCCATTGGCCACTAATTAATTCTTGATTGGAACGTTGCTCCAAGAACCGAACTATGAACATTGTGTAGAAGAAGATTTGCCAAAACCAAGACAAACAATATATGTTGTAGTCAATGTTTTGATTTGGATGTGAAATGTTGTAGCATGATAACAAATTTATTGCCAGAGCTAGCTTGGACATACTATACAGCTCCACTATTTGTATGCGTACCTTTTCCCTATTTTCCAAACTTCTTTCTATAAGTTCTTTACTTTCACTCTCTTGTTGATGGAAACATATTCTCTCTCTCTCTCTCTCTTTTAGTGTATAAAAATAGTCTTGCGTTATTGTTACAATGTTGTAAACAATTCCTCCGTGAAGCAGTATTAAAAAGAAGCTAATAGTTTTGACAATCACCACACATAAAGCAGTATTAAAAAGGAAGTTATTGTTACAATGCTGTAAAAAAATAAAAAATAAACTATTCCTGTGCTATGTTTGGCAGCACCGAATTGGCACCTTGGATTGGGATTAGAGAAATTTTAGTATAAATTTTGAATTAAATTTCTTCAAATCTAAAATACCGAATCGGCACCTTGGATTTGGAATTGGAAAAACTTTAGTACAAATTTTGAACTAAACTTCTAATTTCAAATCCAAGGCACGGTTCCACCAAACATAACATTACAATATAGGATCACCATTGCTCATTCCTCTTAACTTCCTAGAGGGACATGGAGAGAGGCTGCTCTAGTTATGTTGCAATTTGCCTTCTCTGCTTCAACATTGCGTGAAAGAAGAAAAGAAATCAGCTCAAATGTCTAATTGCGAAGAAAACCGAATCCGCTATGAGCCTCTTATTTGCTAATTAGGGCAGAAATGATCATACTGCAACCGGACTGGGCAGGACTAGCTCAGGTTCTGATCTGAAAGATTAAGCTATGCTAACTTGTTCATTTGTCAGCATAGATCAAAAGCCAACATTTGTCCCCTCGCATTAGCATTAACCCTTGGCACTGGGGTATTGCTTAAAGAATTTGGGCCTATTTGGCAACCACAGTTGCTTCTGCTTTGGACAGTGTACCGTAGCGAAACAAGAGCACGAAGTGAGTTTGGTAACGTTTGCTATGATTTGAATAGTAGCGAAGCGCTTCCAAAAAAGATGCCAAAACCAAAAGCAACAAATTAGTGCTTCCGCACAGTTGCAAAAACACTGTATCGATGAACGATATCCAAAAAAAAACCCTCTAAAATGACATTTTCAACCATGAATTTTATTTTTGCATACTTGCAACACTTTTTTTACCAAACATGTTTTCATGTTTTTGCTTTTAAAAATCTTGCAACAAATATACATTACCAGACATGCTTCCAAATAGTATTGAGCACGTTGAAAAACAGAAACATCGCTTCTGCTTCGGGTCAAAGCAATTGTGGTTCCCAAACAAGCCCTTTGGGATGTATGGACTTGCATCAGCCCCCATTCTCAAAATCTCAAACTGTCATGATTTCAAAGAAGCTTTATGAAGTCTAGTGTGTATAATTCACTGTTAGACATGATTTGGTGCCACCATATCAAACCGAAGAGTTCTTTCAGACAGAACACATCAGTTACCATTTCTGCAAAGCAAATGGTAACCTGTTCAGTTCATAAACACATCTAAAATTGAGAAAACAACTTCCCAGATGTAGGCTGAGGTTTCTAAGTCATATTACATGTAGAGTGAAAATAACAGTTTCAGTACACCAATTGAATAAAATGGAAACAGATATAAACAGCAGTATAAAACTGTACAAGGTTATGATCTCAGGGAGAGTATGTTTTAGGAAACTTTAATATGAAAAGCCATCTGATACACCAACAGTTTGACAGAAACTAGAGTCGAAATTCATACATAAGATATGGGAGAAAAAAGTATTTACATGGAAGGAAAACAAACAGCAGATACATTTAACATCATCCAACAAATTAATGGAAGAAGAACGCAAATTTCTAGTTGCTGAGGTCGTTGAAATACTCGGAAGGTATTGAAGGTGGACAGTTCTTCCTTGCCACAAACTTGTACTGATTCAATAAATAAATAAATGTCAGTACAGATTGAGACATTTAATTATATAAAAATAAAATAAAATAAAATAAAATAAAAATCTCATAAATTTAATGCGGAGTATTGAAATCCATTGAGAGTGAAACCAGCACAGTCTCTTCAAGTACCTCCCAAGTATTTGCTAAATCAGAGAAAACGAAAGGGTTTTCCATGATTAAGTAATTGCTGGAAGCCCGGAAAAGTTTTCCATTCAGTGAGTGAAGATACAAAAATCTAAGCTACAGAAAAAGAATAATAATAATTTGCAGAACTAGTTTGAAGAAACATCTTTAAACCCAATAAATATTCAAAAGGGCTGCTCTTTTAAGAATCTTAACTTTCATTTTCATTCATCACAAACTCTTGTTCCTTTTATGTAAAACTTCTTAAGTTATATCCAAGATAATGAATGATCTAAAAGACAATAGCCAGAGAGTATGATTTCTCCTGTTCAAAAGAGAAGTCAAGTGTTACCAAAGGGCCTTTGGCCTAGTGGTATAACCTCCCATCCCCAAAGTGGAGGGGAGGGGTTCGAGCCCGGGCGTGGGGCAAAAAGGGTATGTGTGTTTGCTTTACCATTCAAAAAAAGAGAGGTCGAGTGTTCGAGCCCTGCTAGGGGCAATATTCTGAGTGTGCGCGCATTTGCTTGAACTTTAAAAATAAAAATAAAAATAGGATGCATGCGACAACACTCTGTGTATGTGTGAGAGACGGAGACAGAAAGGAGGGGGAGGGGATTGAGAATTGGAGATTTTGCTTGTACCTTATGTTGACTGTATTTCTCCCTAACTGCACGTAAACTAGAACTATGGTGGTTACAGCAGAGGCGATGTAGTGCCTTGACACAGTCACACAAATCAGAGGGCTTGAACAGCGTGTAATGCCTCAATGTTGAAGTCTATACAAAACAAGAATCAGATTAAACAATGTCACAAGGTACCCAAGAAGCAACATAATAACCAAGGTCTGAGACTTGGCACAAGCAATATTAGTCTGACACTTCTATAAACACCTACCCAAGGTCTTTTCAAAGGGATAAGTATAAATTTGGTCAAAAAAATTGCAGAAGCAGCAATTACGGATGGAGCATAGCAAAGCATGCTGTACTCTATCAACGATAACTCTGCAAGGTAGTTGGCCAGGCACTCCAACTGCATTAAAGGAACCTACAGAAGTAGTTGATAAAACCATCAAAATTATCATGCTTGTCCAAAAAACCAATAGGGAAATTAATGATGACAGGTATCTCAGGAGCATGCATTTTAAAAGAAAAGTTAGGGTAATAAAAAAGGTGAGGGCATCAATGGTTTATATCAATATTTTACACTGATACATCACTATTTTCACTGGTAAAAGTTACTTCATTCAAGTCAAGTTCCAAATACAAAACAAATCACTGGAAAAACTGCTTCTAATCACAGATTTGACCACCTACACTGAAGTAGAACCTTCATCAAACCTAACAAAAATATATAACAGAAACGGTAAGAGTAAACAGTGTAAGATTGATACCTCATTATTTGCTTCAGCAGCACGAACAAAATGCCTATCATTGTGTAAATGGATCAGATTGCAATCAGTAATTCCATAGTAATTCCTTCAAATATCAGAAAGCTGACTATTACCTCAAAAAACATTTAGCGGTTGGGGCTGTCATTTCAAACTTCAAGTAGTTCAGCACAGCAGATTCCATTTGCAAAACCTGAAATTATTGAATTTCCCAGTGAAGTTTTAGGAATTGAAACAATAAAAGATCTAGCATTGCAAAGTTTAGCTGAAGATCAACAGAAACCAAACCTCCTCCTTGAAGTATGTGTTATCAGTGATGAAAACAAACTCTTCAACCTGGGGTGCACAAATCTCCTCATATTTACTGGACCAATATAATATTTCTCATTATCATCTGTATTTGTTATGTTATTATACATGCTTATGGAGAGGTGGGAGGAGGAGGGGGGAGGGAAAACAAGGATGACGAAGAAAAAAATAGAGAGCTAAGTTGGGAAACTTTATATCTTACGCAGCAATCATCATGCAGGCAACACCAAGCAACTGTAGACGTTGCCTATTGATTATATTGCCAGAAAGGTAACGGTCTATGTAGTTAACAGATAAAAACAATGTTTCAGGTACAAGATTGTACTCTTCCGAGACCTACATTAAAAGTTAGATGTCATGATCACAAGTTACAAGATTAGAGAAGCTTTCCCCTCACGAAGTTTAAAATGTCATGATCTGATATTTTTCCAAATGGGGTGTTGACAATCAAATAGAAAACCTCACTTTTCACAGATGTGCTGGTTATATATACCTAACTTACCTCTACAAGCCAATCAATTAGTATCGAACGCATGCTGGAGTTAATGTCTTTCTGAATTCTCTCCATAAAGTCTGCACAAGGCCTCTTCTTGGTCTAAAAAACACAGTAACCATATAAATTGAAAAAGAATCAATTATTGAAGCTAAAATTCCAGCATACTGCATGGTTACTGAAATTCTTAAAACAGTCCCCATACAATAGACTTTTAAAATGAAACTCCAAAGTCGTAATTTCATTTATGATACACATTGAGATCAGTTATTTTTATGCAAAAGCAGTAGACTATGCCTATTGAACAACTGCGAAAACAAAGTGCAGAATTTCAGTAAACAGGTTTGTCATTCATGTTTGGCCCATGATTTCCATAAAAATTAACAAAAAACTTACTGGCCTACATGACTTTTACCAAGCAAGTCTATAAAGAGAGCCTGTGGAATACATATATACCATGTGGGGGAATCTGAAAATGTGAATGATGATTACTGTTGGAAAATTTAATAAGAAAAGAGAGCCTGTGGAAGTAATTCAGCGGGAATCCATAAGTTATTTTTATCAAATTTGAAATCTGCCAGAAAGTAACTCATGTTCATCCTTTCTCTTATTTTTAAGACTTAAAAATGGGACATATTAACAAAAACCAAAATTTTATCAAGAAATTAGAAATGTATTACTTGCCCACTTAGATATTAAAAAATTATCCAATATTATAGTTGTTTAGAATCTTTATAAGAAATATACCTTATTGCACACTTAAAAGCTGACATGCTTCCAAGTCCTCGAATGCGTAATTATAATATATTTGAAAGTATTGTGGTAAAAACTAAAATAATAGCAAGAATAATTGTAATACCCCTAATTTTAAAAGGATAGTCTCGGTATTTATTTATTTATTTTTATTATATTTTTTTTAATTGTTTAATTGATTATTTGACTAATTGTTTATGTGTTTAATTGAATTAAGTGTTACTTGATTAATTGGCTACTTATCTATGTGTTATTTGTATTTTGTCTAGGTGTTATTTGTATTATTTGTTTAATTAGATTGTGTGCTTAAATGATGTATTTGATTAATGTTAATTAATTGTAAATTAAATGTTTTCATTTCTTTTATTGTTTTATTTTATTTTTCTTTTATGGTTATGGTTAGTGGTAATTGGCCAACCAATTGGATCCCATGGACTGCTTGGATAGGAGGTTGGATGGGTATGGATAATTATCCATGGATAGTTATATATGTATATATATAGATATATATGTATATACATATATATAAAAAGGAAAGTAATTTATTAATATTATAGTAACTTTAGTATTAATAAATAATCTGATGTATATATTTTATATATTTATATAATAAGGATATACATATATTTTATACGTAACATGTTTTAAGTTACCTTTTTAATATTATGGTAACTTTAGTATAAATAAATAATCTGATGTATATATTTTATTTATTTAATGAGAATACAGATAGATTATATACTTAACATGTTTTAAGTTACCTTTTAATATTATGGTAACTTTAGTATTACTAAATAATCTAATGCATATATTTTATTTAATTAATAAGGATATACATAGATTATATACGTAACATATTTTAAGTTACCTTTTTAATATTTTCATTTTTATTTTTTTTTATTAAGTTGACTTGGATTGGGAAAAGGAATAGGGTTATTATTTAGCCTATAAATACACAACTATAGGTTGAAAAAGGAGTGAAAATATATCACGTAATATATTCTAGAGAGAGAGTTAGAGAGAGAAGGAGAAAGAGGGAGGAAGGAGGAGAAAACCCTTTAGAGAGAAGATCAAGGAAGAAGAAGTTTAACTTTCAATCCGAAAGTTTAAGGCAAGTTCTTCTTCTATCTCTTTCCCTTTGATTCGTGTTTCTGTACATGCCTAGGAAATTCCAGGATTTACTAAACACATAAAATTAAATAATTATGCATGTTTAATTGGATTAAAGTATAGGTTTTTGTGAAATTGGGTCATATCTGTTCTTGTGTTATAAATTAAAAAAATGCATGACGGTGGCATTCTAGGGACGGATTAACTTATCAGTTAAGTCCTACCTATTTTATATAAGGGAATGGATTAACTAAAATGTTAAGTCCTACTTATATTCAAGTCAGGTCAGCTGAACAAGTTGAATGACTTATAGAGGATTAATTTATTATATAAGGGAATGGATTAACTAAAATATTAAGTCCTACTTATATTCAAGTCAGGTCAGCTGAACAAGTTGAATGACTTATGGAGGATTAATTTCTACTGGATAGGATGGTCACTAGATTTTATATATATAAGTATGGTGCCATGATATGAGCTTGAGTCTCAGAATCAGTGGTTAGGGTGCGTATATCGCCAGGGATGTGTAGCTAGATATAGTGTAGTTGTGTACCCTGGTAGGTCTAGGTACTCATGCCCACTATATGTGTGTTTTGCATGTTGCCTACTATTCAGGTTGAGACAACCCTATAGTCTAGTGAGGTTCCTTTAGTGTGTATATATATATATACGGACTACTAGTTACTGTTGGATTGACTAGGATGTATACGTGTATCGGATCTCTGCTTGGACTGTAGTAGAGTAGAACTTGTTTGTGGGCCTGACCCACCATTGTTTTTCAGGTGTTCGTCACGAGTAGAGGTTGTTCGTGCTGAGCGGGGATCAATCTACTTCATTCTTCCGATGCTACATAGGAGTTCCTTTATGATTCAGTTTCCTGTTTTAGAATACTGTCATTTGTTTAGTTTGGATTTTCTAGGGGTCCACACAGTATGGATTCCCGAGTTGTATTTTGGAGGATCAGTTTTATCAGAAGAGTTTATTAATTAATGGAAATATATTATGAGGTTTATTATTAGATTATCATTTTAGTTTCTTGTCAGCATTTTATTTATTCTTCTTTATTCTTTTGTGCTCTGTGTTCGTTTATTATCAATTTGTTTTGATATCCTCGGGTATTCGGGCGTGGGCCTGGCCAACCCACATTCGGAAATTCGGGGGTATCACAGTTGGTATCAGAGCACTCCAGGTTCAAGTGTCCTTAGGAGTGTCTTTCGTTATGTGACTTCCGCGTTGCGTCTCTTAAAACTTAGAGCTCATATTAGGATTCGTTGTACTCTATTTACGGTTCGTTAGGAGGAGCTGATGTCAATTAGATTCTGTAGTTACAGAATGGTTGGCATTAGGAGGAGGATTGGGTTCAAGGCGAAAGCAATAAAAACCCAAAGTAGTAAAGGAGTAAGTTATCGATTTCATTGCCCGAAAGCAGAGTTAAGGATTGACGGTTTAGGTTCGTTTGGTGTTACTTTAAAAGTATAAGCCAAGGAATGATTTAGGTGTACGTGATAGGTCACCGCATATCGGAACCAACACGACTTCAGTTGATCTCAAAAAGGAGACAAGCGAAGAGTAGGAGCCGAAGAGGATCCTAATGGAGGAGATTTATGTGCATTCAGTAGAGAGGGTACTAAATCTTGAAGATGGATGATCGCACGAGGTGATCTGAATTACTAATAGTATAGCGAATGTTATTAGTAGAATTAGGGTTGATCAATCTACAAATAATTAAGCTTTCTTATTATCTCTAAAAGAGGTATATAAGAAGTATTGTTCAGGAGTTTGGGGATCGGATGTGTTCTTATCAGAACGAAATACATAATTTTTAAATCACATACAAAAAGGCATATGGATTATGTTGTGACGTTCTAATTCACTTTATAAAGCCAAGTTAGATAGTTTACATTCCGTGTATAGGGAGGATGAGGGTTAAGCCCTTAGTATTTGCTTAGACTAACAAATGTTGCTTTTAAGCTATGTTTTAAAGGATATGTTTCGAGGTTGAATGATTATTTACAAAACTATAAAATGAAATTTTAAAACAATCTAGTAAGGTTGATTTCAAAGGAGACTTTCTTTTCTAGAAAGAACGATGTCCTAAGTAGGAGTATATTTTGTTCTGTTGTGTTTATCATACGTGCTTTATGTTATTTTTTTTTATTTTTTATTTTTATTTTATTTTTTGTTAATTACTCGGGATTTGGTATGTGGTTTAGTTGGGGACATAAGTGTGTGATCAATCAATTATTGTTTTAATAACATGGAGTCATAGCGCTATTTACGCTAAATTTGTGAGCATACGGTCATAGGATTTGGTAGATACACATAAATCTAACCAATCTATTGGACCTGGACATGTGTCATTATGATGCGTTTTGGGATGGGATAATTAAACCATCACTACGAGTCAAACAATCTAGAACGATTAATTTGATATACTTTACGTTAGGTGTGGATTCGTATCATATTACAACGCCATGATATTGGTGATTGTTAATGTTTCGGTATGCGTGAGGTAGTGGTAAATAAAGATCACTAAAACGCCATGATGATATATCAGAGGTGCTGGATTTGCTGAACATCTTCTTGAAAATTTTAGAAGTTGTTACCAAGTCGGAAGGAGGATTTAGTACTGGATTAAGTACTTATTGGAATGACACCGAGTGAGGATAGGAGACTGAATAAATATTCAGCACTAAATTCTTAATCAAGAATTTATTCAAGAGGGTGTGTCATTAGGAGGAATTTACCGGTGTTGCACATGGAAGAGGAAGCTAAGTATTTTTATTTCCATAAATAATATGGAATTATTTTTTTAGTCACAATTTGCAACAAATAGTTGTTGCAAGGAAATTGATGACTTATGTGGAGGATGGAAAGATTTCATATTCTTTTGAAGTTAGACAAAGAAGTTGGATTGACACTAACTTGTCTTAAAGAAGCAGGGTGTGTCAAAGATAAGATGGTAAGACCAAACACCTATATAAAGATGAGGTGCATGGTATATATGGAAAGGTCGTAATTTGTTGACTTTTGTTGAGTTAAAGTCATAGTTGACTATTGATAAATGGAATTACCGATTGACTTTCAATATCGGTAAGTTTATCACAGATCAGTAGTGGATAGATTTAGTTGCAGAATTCGCTTTTGAAGATGCTTCAATTTAAATAATGGGTACAGACGAAAACTGGTGGTACTGGATTAACAGTACTTTCTGCAGACAAATTGGATGGAGGATGCAAAGACTGAGTTTCACAACTCTTAGTTCTTTATTCACCCTAGTAGAAACATGATGCTTCACAGTATGAAGCAGATGTTTGGAGGACAGGCAGGAAGAGGAATATAGTGTTTTTTCTCTAAGTCTAATATTTATTAAATAGTAGAGATGGACCATCAGAGATCACTGGATTTTTGCAGCTATTTTCTATACTGAAGTGGAAATGACAGAGCATTTTCACGGATTTAGTTGAGGGATTGCCGATTTGATGCAAGGGTCAAGATTCTAGATGGGATATTGGTTGACTGATAAAATTAAATCAGTTTCATTTTGTCTATTTTGATCGAGCTGGTAAGATATTAGTTCATACGAATATAACGGATCACGAGAAGGCTTAGATGGATGCAAAGTGTGAATAATAACACTTGTTATTACCAAGGTAGTTCAGGAGGTCAATTTTGAATATCGGAGCTGACCCTAGAGAAGGTGTTACCTTACTCAAATGGAGTTTAAGGTACTGGAGGAGGAGTTAGTAGTTTCTATAAATAGTGATATGACTGTCGGGCGACTGAGATGGAAATTTATAATTTTTCTTGGTACACCCAGACGGTTAGAAGGTACATCACGACATCAAATGTCAGTTTTGGTGAACAGGTACGAATAAGGACGTGTATATAATTGCCCTAAGTGTAAAACCTGCTACAAAGGTGGAAAGTTGATCATTAGATATCATAGGAATCTTTAGCCACTTCCTATAACAAATATGGAAGTTGAACTAAACAGGAGTGATAGTTGGTGGGAAGGATCGACATTGATTTGGAATTTCAATTTTCCATATGGAATCCGAGTGGTGGATTGAGAAAGATTGCTTGAGGACATAAATTTGAGTGATGCTTATTTTAGAACTTCATAGTAGTTTTATAGTTCAGTGATAGTGGTGTTATAGCATGTGGATTTCCATATTAGTGGATGCAAAGTGCTATTTCGAAGGAGCTTTATGAAGATTTTAGAGTAGCAGCTCTACTTCATAAATATAGACGGGGGAATTAATCGAGAGATTAAATTAGACCATAAAGGATATGTTTAAGGCGTATATCCTAGATTTTCATGGACTGTTGGAAGAATTTACTTCACTTGTCGGAATTTTGTCTGTGATATTGTTGGCACAAGGAGGTTAGTGTGACAACTTTGGAGGTTTTGTATCTTTCACAATGCATACCTCTCGTTTGTTGGTTGGAAATGGAAGTAAGGGTTGTACAATTAGACCTTGACTTCATTTAAAAATATGTCGGAAATAGATACTTCCCTTTATATTGAAATGCGCGCGGTTGGGAAGCAACAGTAGGATGTTGTAAATAGTTGAACTCGTATACTAGAGTTTTTCTATCAGGGAGTAGTTTGCTCGTTCTGTTTTCTATGTAGGAAGAAAGACGATTTTTGGAGAAATGTCAATTTTACTTATTACATTGACTTTTACACGATTGTGTTTCGCAATTGAGGCAGTCACCTCTGAATTAGCGTTACCAAATTATTAGCGCTGGGTGCATAGGAGTTTGTGCGTATATTCTATGGCACTTGGAGGTATGTAGATCATTCCCTTGTCGACATAGGAGGATTACGTTGTTATTTGATACGACCTACACATTGTATGATTATTGTGTTTCTTAAAATATAGGAACTCTGTATACCACTGGGTATATTAGAGTTAAGTGGAGCCCTTATAGTGAGGTTGCGTCTATTTGGGAATATGATGATGTTTTTCGCTCACAGTTTCCAAGCATAATAGAAGAAAGTAAGGGCGAATTCCGAAGACGGAATTCCTTTTATTAGGGGGGAAGAATGTAATACCCCTAATTTTAAAAGGATAGTCTCGGTATTTATTTATTTATTTTTATTATATTTTTTTTAATTGTTTAATTGATTATTTGACTAATTGTTTATGTGTTTAATTGAATTAAGTGTTACTTGATTAATTGGCTACTTATCTATGTGTTATTTGTATTTTGTCTAGGTGTTATTTGTATTATTTGTTTAATTAGATTGTGTGCTTAAATGATGTATTTGATTAATGTTAATTAATTGTAAATTAAATGTTTTCATTTCTTTTATTGTTTTATTTTATTTTTCTTTTATAGTTATGGTTAGTGGTAATTGGCCAACCAATTGGATCCCATGGACTGCTTGGATAGGAGGTTGGATGGGTATGGATAATTATCCATGGATAGTTGTATATGTATATATATAGATATATATGTATATACATATATATAAAAAGGAAAGTAATTTATTAATATTATAGTAACTTTCGTATTAATAAATAATCTGATGTATATATTTTATATATTTATATAATAAGGATATACATATATTTTATACGTAACATGTTTTAAGTTACCTTTTTAATATTATGGTAACTTTAGTATAAATAAATAATCTGATGTATATATTTTATTTATTTAATGAGAATACAGATAGATTATATACTTAACATGTTTTAAGTTACCTTTTAATATTATGGTAACTTTAGTATTACTAAATAATCTAATGCATATATTTTATTTAATTAATAAGGATATACATAGATTATATACGTAACATATTTTAAGTTACCTTTTTAATATTTTCATTTTTATTTTTTTTTATTAAGTTGACTTGGATTGGGAAAAGGAATAGGGTTATTATTTAGCCTATAAATACACAACTATAGGTTGAAAAAGGAGTGAAAATATATCACGTAATATATTCTAGAGAGAGAGTTAGAGAGAGAAGGAGAAAGAGGGAGGAAGGAGGAGAAAACCCTTTAGAGAGAAGATCAAGGAAGAAGAAGTTTAACTTTCAATCCGAAAGTTTAAAGCAAGTTCTTCTTCTATCTCTTTCCCTTTGATTCGTGTTTCTGTACATGCCTAGGAAATTCCAGGATTTACTAAACACATAAAATTAAATAATTATGCATGTTTAATTGGATTAAAGTATAGGTTTTTGTGAAATTGGGTCATATCTGTTCTTGTGTTATAAATTAAAAAAATGCATGATTTTGATTTGATTTCTGGTGTGAATTTTTATATATTTGAATTATGTATTTTTCATATATGTGGAATGATGGAACGTAGAAACATGCCTAGGATTCCTGAACATTAAATAGGGACTAGGTTTGGGTTTAAATAAATTTAAATACACACAATCATAACGATGCTTGCTATTTAAATGTTTACACAAACGAATGGATTTAATCTTTTAAAATACTTTAGCAATTGAGAATAAATGTGTAGGATGAATTGGATATGGAGAATGCTTATTTGACGATATAATAAAATATCATCATGTATAAGATTCAGTTTGTGTAGGACATATGATATATGAGCTTAAATAAATAATAAGTCATTCATATTCTGTGATAACTTGATATCATATTATCATAGTTATTTCTGGAATGTTTGATGTATTTCTTTAATTATTACATCAATTGTTGGATTGTGTGGTTTAATGCACCGGTATGGGACGGTGGCATTCTAGGGACGGATTAACTTATCAGTTAAGTCCTACCTATTTTATATAAGGGAATGGATTAACTAAAATGTTAAGTCCTACTTATATTCAAGTCAGGTCAGCTGAACAAGTTGAATGACTTATAGAGGATTAATTTATTATATAAGGGAATGGATTAACTAAAATATTAAGTCCTACTTATATTCAAGTCAGGTCAGCTGAACAAGTTGAATGACTTATGGAGGATTAATTTCTACTGGATAGGATGGTCACTAGATTTTATATATATAAGTATGGTGCCATGATATGAGCTTGAGTCTCAGAATCAGTGGTTAGGGTGCGTATATCGCCAGGGATGTGTAGCTAGATATAGTGTAGTTGTGTACCCTGGTAGGTCTAGGTACTCATGCCCACTATATGTGTGTTTTGCATGTTGCCTACTATTCAGGTTGAGACAACCCTATAGTCTAGTGAGGTTCCTTTAGTGTGTATATATATATATATACGGACTACTAGTTACTGTTGGATTGACTAGGATGTATACGTGTATCGGATCTCTGCTTGGACTGTAGTAGAGTAGAACTTGTTTGTGGGCCTGACCCACCATTGTTTTTCAGGTGTTCGTCACGAGTAGAGGTTGTTCGTGCTGAGCGGGGATCAATCTACTTCATTCTTCCGATGCTACATAGGAGTTCCTTTATGATTCAGTTTCCTGTTTTAGAATACTGTCATTTGTTTAGTTTGGATTTTCTAGGGGTCCACACAGTATGGATTCCCGAGTTGTATTTTGGAGGATCAGTTTTATCAGAAGAGTTTATTAATTAATGGAAATATATTATGAGGTTTATTATTAGATTATCATTTTAGTTTCTTGTCAGCATTTTATTTATTCTTCTTTATTCTTTTGTACTCTGTGTTCGTTTATTATCAATTTGTTTTGATATCCTCGGGTATTCGGGCGTGGGCCTGGCCAACCCACATTCAGAAATTCGGGGGTATCACAATAATTAAGCAAGTAAGCAACCAAATCAGCCTATTAAGCTTCTAGAATCAATATCATGAGTGAACAAACAGTATTGGCTTGCCAATCAGTGACCAAGTTTTTCAAATTGTATATGAAATTGTTGTCCTATTTCATCCTATATATTAACTTATATTTAAGTTTCCCATAGAAATCCCTTATGTTAGAAACAGTAATCTAAGAAAATTGAACACTTTCAGGAAGTAATAAAAGAATAAAGATGGGGTATGAGTTTATTTATAACAACAGAAACACACTGCGCAAATCAGACTGTCTATACAATTCTGCATAGAAAACAGACAGCGAACCTCAGATGCACGTAAGTGCTTATAGATGTCACAAGCAATGGTAGCACAAAACTGGGGGTCCATGATGTTACCATCAACGTCAACAACTTTATCCACTGTTTCCATCTCCACAAGTATATCTTGCTTGCCCACATCTCCTGACAGAAATAACAGAACCATATCAAGGAGGTCAGACAAGTTAATTCTTGAATAGTAAGAAAAATCCTAGAAAGGTAACAAGGACCACATTCATAACCTATACAATTTTACAGTAAAGGTTTAAAAATTTAAAACAAGAAGACTCAAACAAAGGAGACAAGTGAATTGGAAAAGAAATGTTGAAAATGTCAGAAGGACCTGCTACTCCCACAAGATCTGATATGTTGAGGCTGTAACATGTCTTCCTTTCAATTGAATTGATTGCTAAAGCATCATTATTGTCTATGTATTCAAATTCTGGACTCTTTATAGATCCACCAGTAGACATTGTTTCATCCAAAGAGACTGAACCACCATCTGACGGACTAGGAGAAACATCCTTGAAGCCAGGGGCAGGAAGGGCAGTAACACTGACTACAGGTTGATCAATACCGGGGAAATATGTCTCCTTGCAAGATATAACTGCACTTGATTTCAAGTTCAAGGATGAAGGCAACGAATTCTCAGAAACGCTTGCCTTGCAACTAAAAGTAGAAGATTCCTTCTTTGGCTTGGCCATTTTAGCCTCACATGGCACCTTCAAAAATGGAATTCGATTTTTTTTCATCTACAACTATAGTATAGTAGGCTTAAATTATAAATTAATGCTCATGTCAACATTAAGTGCAAAATCAAAGTGCGGGTTATAATGATAATTGAGATGGAGTGCATCTAGATGCACAATGAGAACTAACTTTTTACCTTCAGTTTTCCATATCTTTCGAGACTATAAATCTAATCTTGAAAATGTAACATTACATAACGATACCTTTCATAGTAAAGAAAATAAAGAAAAAAATTGTTCCAATGGCGTGAACTCAAATGAAACCCATTCTGATACATGCACAGAAGTCTAGAATGCTAGTTAAAATTCTTTTAAATGGATTCATTAAAAAGTCCAAGTGCCCCTTCAGGCTAGTGAACAATAAGGAATGTTTAAAAAATAAAACTAAAATAGTACTTATATTTTTCATTGGTGCCTCATGCACAGCAGGGTGGACAACAAGCATTTTATATGATTTTCTGATTTTTCATATATCAAAATTTTATGTGGTTTTCTTGGCAAAGAAAATTTTGACAGTTGCTAAATAATGCTCAAAGCACTCACAACAAGAAATTTATAAATTCAATTCCTGAAAAATATCAGCAAAAGATATATAAACTGATGCCGCAGTATATTGCAGACTTGCAGTAATCTTGTATTTCAATCCAAATAATTAGCACTCATAAATGAACCCTTAAAATTTCTATTATTAATACACACATACCCAAGCTGGTTGATCATCAAAACTCCTACATGCTTTTGTAATATCAATGCAATCAATGAAGAAGAAGACGCAAATCTACATTTAAGATTACATTAGAGTTTTTACAGTAAAATATAATGAATTCCACAATTGATTCTATTAAAAATGTGCCAAAGACCTTAAAAGAATATGGTCACATTTACCTGCCACTTATTCCACCTATATTTGAAAAAATACATAAATCCATATTTAAAGATTAAGTTGACAAAAAAAATGTGCCTGTAAGACATGATGAATTTCCATACTTGGCTCAAATAAACCATAGCCGAAAACTTTTAAGACTATGATTCTATATACCTGCCATTTAATCCGCCTCTAAATATATTATACAAAAAATAGCAGGTATCATACAAGCAGCATGTAAAATTTCTTACAGGACATGACAATAGTAATACAATCTTCAAACAGGTTTACCACAATGCCAGTATAAAACAACTCACTTCAAATTTGGAAATCATGTTAATCAATTAGATTTTATCCCACCTAGGATAAAATCATATAGGACCTAGGAGAAAATTAGGTGCTACAATTTGAAACTCTCAGGTTGCCATGAGGTATAACACTTAACTAATTATTAAACAATTAGATTTTATCCCATGCCATTTTTTTCTGCAAATAAAAAATGGTGCTACATTACATTTTCACTAAGTAACATTTTAGTCCCATTGGGAACTCGAACCCACAACCTTACATTTGGAAGGAGGAAATACCCCACTTGGGCTACGCATCAGAGGTGGTCTGTAAAATAAATATAAAGGTGAAGAGTGGTCTGCAATTTCTTCATGGAGCAAAAGAACATGAGGGGGGTGGTTGTTCACTATAAAGTATTAGTAATAGAACAAAAGCAAAACTACAACAAATTTGGACAATTGAGTAGGATTTATAAAGGGGGTTGACTTTTCAGATATATCTTCTTCTTTTTGCATAATACATTTACATGAAAACAAGCACTTAAACACAACAAGGGTTCAGGAAATTAAAGAACTCTCTGCATGCTTCAACTTAGGAAAACCTAAACACCAGATGCAACGGATGTGATTTAACAATCATCACCATAACAAAACTTGATAGGAAACATGTTAACATGAGGTATGGGCACCCAAATCCCATTTCAATTTTCTAAAATCTGAATGAACCAAAAGGATTTCCCTACCAAACCTTGCTTTTACAAGTAAAAATATTTAAGTGCATCATTTTTCCCAATCAAGTATGAAAGGATTTGACATCAATCCACTTTACTTCCCAAGAAAAAAAAAAAATTACCCATTTGTTTATGGTGATTCAAAAGCACTCAATTAACCAAACCAATAAACAACAAACAAGATTAACCCAAAAATTAGCAATTATGCACAAAGAGAAACACAATCTGCGATATCGATTGATCATTAAATTCCCACAAGTCCTTGAATGTGTGTGTATCTGTGTGTATCGATATATATAGACTGACATAATAATCGCACCATAATGTTTGACACAGGGTTCTGAGGACCATTTCTCTGATTGGTGAGGTTGGTGAGTGGAGGCCGCTTCTTCTTCGCCAACTGAGGCTTCAACGCAGCCACAGCCTTCCTGGGAATCTCCGACGACAATGATGAGGTTGTTGTTGATGATTTTGATGATGATGAAACTGACCAACGGCGATTGCGAGTCGACATTTTGTATACAAACAAAACCCTAACCCCAATCCTTTCACTACTACAAGAAACTGGGTTTGTTTAGAGTCGAGGGTTTTATTTAGATGTGGTATTGAATTCCATCGTATGATTTTTGAAGGGTTTTGCGGGAGAGATGTGGAGAGAGATATACGTGTGTGTGTATGTAATATGTGTGTATATAACTTTATATATATAGACAAATTTTTATTATTACTTTAAGACTTTGGGGGCGCGCAAAAGGGATTTGAAATGTGCTGTAAATCTTAACAGTAGGATCGATCGGCTTGATGAGATCATGACCGTTAAATTAATCTCCACCAATCAGGTTCCTCAAGGATCATTTAATTATTTTTCACTCCGTAATACTTTGGCTCCAATTGATTTTATGGAATTAGCAATAAATAAAATAAAAATAATAATAAAAAAATTTAAACATTTTAAGAGTTTGAATAGAGGGAAAAAAATTGTGGGAAAGTTTTTCTTTCATAAACGCCAAATTTTTTGTAAAATTTTCTTACAAAAAGCATTGGAAATTTTTTACTTATTATGAAAGTTTTATGAATTTACAATGATGGTCATTATTTTCTTGTAAGTTTATTGTATTCCATAATCATGAAATGGTAAATTCTCATAACTTTCTTGAAAAAGTTTCAAACTAATCAAATGCACATTGAAAATTTTATCTTCTTTTCATTCTCTTCAATTACTTTTTTTCAAGGGTTCACATAGTGCAAAAGGTAAATTTTTGAAAGAAAATAATTTTCATAATTCCCAAACTTTTCATAAATTTTTGCAACAAAAAATGCAGAATAATTATGATTTCTTAAAATCAATGGCCTTGTAACTTCATGATACTTTCTAGTCTTTTAAAGTAGAAGGTCGGAGGTTCAAAAGCCCATAGGGGCAAAGTGACTAAGTGAGTATATGAATGTATTTTTTGCCAATAAAAAAAATTATAATTTCTTTAAAAAAAAATTAGATGCAACAATGCTCTTTTTATTGTACATAAGTTATGAAATGATAATTTTTCGTAGTGTTGATTTGGCTTTGTTGTAAGAATGAAAAAAATAAATAAATAAATTTAATAAATACTTTTATCAGTAAAGCTATCAAAACATTATAAAAAGAAGAGAAAATTCAGTCATGTATATTATTAATTAAATGATACATAAGACTACAATGTAATAAGATCTAAACTAATAAACTGTGTGTTTGGTAGGGTTGATTTGGAGGGACATGGAGAGAAAAGAAAAGAAAGGATAGGGTGGGAGTGTGTTTGGGTGAATTAAGTGGAGAGAAAAGAGAGAATAAGAAAAGAGCTATCCCTCCCTATCCCTCATTTGGTTTCTCTCCTAATTTGAGAGGAAAGGGAGAGAAAGGATAATGGAGTAAGTGATTAATTGGTAATACTAAAAATATTCTCCACAAATCAGTATACAGAAAAGTTATTCCATTTATGTCCCAAACAAGAATAATTATCATTTCTTTTCTCAAAAGGTAAAACAGTAATTTAGTTACTATCCTTTCTTTTCTTTTCTCTCCTCTATCTTATCCAAATAAGAATAATTATCATTTCTTTTCTTTTCTCTCCTCTCTATCTAAATACAAATAGAAATTATTACTATCCTTTCTTTTCTTTTCTCTTCTCTCATAACTAATACTATCATTTCTTTTCTTTTCTCCCCTATCTATCCAAACACAAAGGAAATGACAATACTACCTCCAAACAATAAAATAAATCCTACTCTAACACCTCCCTCCAACTTACAATGTAACAATAAGAAAACATCGAGAGTTCACCTAAAAGAAAACCAAAATGCACAAGAGTATTGGACTTCTGAAGAAGAAATAAATGGGAAAGAGATAGTGCCAAGTTGAAAATGATGGTGCATAAAATGATAATCAATCTCGATATGCTTTGTGCGCTCATGAAAAACTGAGTTGTGTGTAATCTGAATAACACTCTTATTATCACAACAGATGGGATTAAGAATAGAAAGAGAAACACCAATATCACCAAGCAACTATCGAAGCCAAACTATCTCTGTTGTAGTGGCAGTGATGGCATAATACTTCTGCTACTTACTTGTTAATGTGGTGCACAAATAAGTGATCAATAGTTTCCTCAGCCTTCAAGCAAGTATGACACATCGAAGCCATGGTCATCCATCTCCGCTGCAAATTAGAGCAAGTCAAGACAACATTCTGCAAGATGAGAGCATAGTATATTGACCACCTAGCTCTTCCACCACTCCAATAGATATTTTACCAATCAACTTGTTGCCTCACCACTCTGCATGATTCCCATGCTTGTTTAAAAAAGAGAGATCCTTTGGACAACAGAAGTTGGTTTTGCCCACCATAGAGGGTCTTTGCCCCGTTAGGAGCTATTTGTTTAGAAAATCTAGATTAATCAATTATTTTATTGCTCTATTGATGAAAGTGGCATCTTCAAGAGTGCCAATTTCTTTATTTACCTTTTTCATTTTGTTGCTCTTTTTTTAGTGGCCTCTCTAGGAGCGCCAACTCCTTTATGCAACTTTTCTTATGCCTTCCTCTTCAGAAATAGTATCTTTTGCACCAACAGGTCTACCATGCTTCAGGTGTATTTTAGATGTATTTATTGCAATATTGATGGATTGTCTTATATGGATATCAATCCTAATTGGAAACTTTGCAACTGGCATATAATTACTTTCTTAATGCTACTAAACATTCAAAAGATTTTATCTAGTCTTCTAGTTGCGATATTTCTCCCCCTAATAGTGGGAAAATTACAAAGATTTCCTTAAGGATATTATCTTTTAAAGATACAAGATATCTTTGTAGACACTAAAATTTTAGTGGGCTTTGGTTTTGACAAATTGACCCATCAAATATGGGTTTAATGTTTAATTAAGTTATTTAATTGGCCCAAACTTGGTCTACTTAAATTATTTAATTAACTCAGCTCAGATGATTAAATGAAAAGATAATTATTCCTAATAAAATATATTTGGAATAATTATTTTTAAGAATAATTATCATAATATAACCGACCCGACCCAGTTATGATTTTATTCTTATCAGGAGAGGACATGTGTCATCATCCTATTAATCGAATAAGCTTATAAATAGAGGCCTAGAGGAAGGAGGAAGGGGTACACAAAATTCAAAATTCAGAAATCCAGCATTACAGAGAGAAATACAGAAACTCTACCAATACTCATCCCCAACACCCAAAGGCGAAGAACACTAAGCATATCAAAGCCATGTCGTTCTTCATCAAATTTCACGGTGATCAACAACAAGCACATCAAATCGTGTCGTTCTTCATTCAAATTCCACGGTGATCAACAACAAGCACATCAAATCGTGTCGTTCTTCATTCAAATTCCACGGTGATCAACAACAAGTACATCAAATCGTGTCGTTTTTCATCCAAATTCCACGGTGATTCAAGATCAAGCTTGTGCAGCCCTTGAATCCAACCAACAAAAAAGGAGATCGAATCAGAGGACCTTATTCTTTGTAAAGAATATTACAGAGGATTGTACTCCAATTTTTTCAATTTAATAAAATATTATGTTTGCTCCATATTTTGTTCTTATTTGCAGACTACAAAATTTGTGTGTACAAATTTCCGGCACACCCGGTGGGATATCCTTTGCCTCTCATCTCTTTCTCCTACCATCAAGCTTCTTCTCTGTCAGATTCTATGACTCCCCCAAAGACTCAAACAGACAAGAAAGTTTAAAAGAACATCGCTACTGCAAAGGTCAACGCCATAGTCACCATGAAAAGTGGCACGAAGGCCAAATCAAGTGATGGAAGTACCTTGGCGGGCCTTGTGACACGTACCAAGTCTCAGGCAATCGCGTCATCCAAACATTAGCAACACTTGATAAAAACTAATCCTGCAAAGCTAGCGAACGTGAAAACTCAACATGTCAAGAACCCTGACGTTGTTTTAGAGGAGATTCCGCCACCAGATTCACCTCATTCCATCTGTGATGCTCATTCTAATATCGATTCACCCCCAGAGTCACCACGTCAAACTTCAGAACAATCAATCACTTCAAGGAATGTTGACTCTCAAGGCCTATCATACTCAGACGTGGTCGCTGCGATGATGACTAGAGCTGCCACGGTGGAGGAACAACTAGAAACTATGGCTCGTGCCATTGAGAACCTCGTAAAGACTGTTAAAGAGAATGACTTGCAAATCGCAACATTGATGAATAAATTAGAAGTTCAGACCTTTGGTGAATCACCAGTACTGTCTGGGAATCCTACAGCTTCCACAACAGTGCCATCTAGGAATCCTACATCTTCCACAGCAGTGCCATTTGGGAATCCTGTAACTTCCACACCACCACCATCTGGGAATCCTACATCTTCCACAGTAGTGCCATCTGGGAATCCTAATTCTACAGCACAAGGTATTCACATGGAAGACCCCAGATAAACGCCCTTGACAGAACAGGCGGCTAGTTAAACCAATCATGCTTCTTTGGTCTCTTTATTATCTGTCGAACAATTATAAGATATGATAATGAATACAATCCGAGCCCAATACGGGGGCATCTCACAGAGCATTCTCATGTACTCAAAGCCGTATACAAAGAGAATCGACAGTATGAGGATGCATGTAGGATACCAACTTCCGAAAATTCAGCAATTTGACGAAAAAGGCAACTCCAAGCAACACATTGCCCATTTTGTTGAGACTTGCAACAATACCGGAACTGATGGAGACTTACTAGTTAAACAGTTTGTCCGATCCCTTAAAAGAAACGCGTTCGAGTGGTACACCAACCTAAAGTCAAAATCAATTAATAGTTGGGACCAAATGGAATGAGAATTCTTGAACAGGTTCTATAGCACTCGTTGTACTGTTAGTATGATAGAATTGACTAACACGAAGCAATGGAAGGATGAGCCTGTAATCGACTACATTAATCGGTGGCGAGCACTCAGTCTTGACTACAAGGACCGATTGTCAGAAATCTCTGTTGTAGAGATGTGTATACAGGGAATGCATTGGGGCCTTCTTTACATTCTCCAAGGCATAAAACTTCGCACATTCAAAAAATTGGCTACGCATACCCATGACATGGAGATCAGTATAAAATCCCATGACGAAAAAGGTCCGGTGACCAAAGAACCACACAAGGATAA